ACAGCAGGGGTCGGCAAATAAGTCAGACATCGCGACAAATTTATTTTAAGCCATGATGTGGCAGCTGTAGGCTGGACCACCAGGATGCTCACAGCCAAATAACATTGTCTTTACAGTAGACGAGGAAAAAAGGCTGCAGATGTGCAGAAAAAGGTCAGCCAATATCTAATCCAAATGCGAATTAGCTGTTGAATATTCTAGTTAGCTATATTTATACTATTTTTTTATTAAGAAAAAGTACATATTGAGTTTGCAATTACATATTGAGAAGGGCAGTGTCAAGCTATCTAAATAAATACAAGAATAACAACTATTTAAATGTATATCATTTTGTTTCTTCTGTCCCACCCCTGTGTTTCATCCGTCCCACACAGTGGGGACGAATGAAACAATGTGCACCTTTTCTTCAAAGTGAAATTATCTGAAGTCATTCCACATTTTAGATAACACCTGGTATTGATAAAGCACACAGGTAAGTTGTTGATGACACAACATATGATTTCTGTCTGTAACGGTTGCACTTTTATTGTTTCATCTTTGTCTTGTTTGCTCATTGTGCTTCTGTGCTGCTAGTTTGTCCTCACTGTGTGGAACAACAAGAAACCTGCTGGAATATCTGATCAAATAGAAATCAATAGAATATTAAAGAAATCCCTCAGCTCAGTATGTTTGTGACTCTGGCTGAGATGGAGGTGAAATATGTGAACCTGGGCTGTGGTTTACTGCTCTCTTCCTGTCACAAACACTGTTTGACATCTGAAGGTTTTTGTACAGGCTGCACGGATCATTTCTCACTGTGGCCACCATCCTTCCAACAGGCGCAGTAGTAGATGGCTGAATGAGAGGGTTTAACTTTCTGGATCTTCAGCTCACAGCCGTTCTGTTTATTCATGACTGAGAAATCATCTTTCTGAGGATGATTGTAACCTGAGTATACATAACCATCACTCCTCTGAATATAAAGGATCCTTGTGAATGTGTCTGTGTCTTTCTTCTGGTACCAGAATACATAATCCTGGTCACACTGGTCAGTTCTCTGACAGCTGAAGGAAACAGTTTCATCGACTCCCCTGGTCAATGTTAAATCCTCCTGAATCAGGTCTGCTGCCATGGCAACCAGCGCTGTAGAGACACAGACAGATAGATGAAGGTCAGTGTGACAGTGTTTGTTCCAGGTGGAGTTTGCTGGCTCCTGATTGGCTGGAAACACTCACCTGAACACAGACAGCACAGAGCAGCAGCTGGGAGGAAAAGCATTGTGTGCAGTGGTGTTTCCTCTGGTGAACCTGGGGAGAAGTGGCGCTCTGATGCAGCTGAGGCCAAACAAGGACGAGCTGTGAGATCAGACGAGGGCCGCGTGGTTTCTAACGGGTCCTCAGACCTCCCATCAGCCCCTGCGGCGGACAGATAAGGCTGCTGCTGCTGATTGACAGCTCAGCTGAAGCTGCTGTGTGGTTTTCTGCTGAGTCGGAGCTCATTCTGCTTTATTACAGTTCATCTCCTCTATTGAACTATTTCAAATCACTACAGCTACATTAGAAAGAAGGAAAACTACAAACTCGGCTGATTCTAACAGTGAAAATCATCAGTTCAAGGCAGGAACATGTAGTTGTGTCTCTCTAGTATAAAAAGTGGAACCAGCTTCTTGTTTTCATTGTGTGGTTCGTCACACTGAGACCTTCATTCTCCAAAATCCTGTTTGTGTTCAATCTTCAAATGTCTGTTGTTGAAAAAGAAGATGAAGGTTACTGTCAGCCAGCAGATTCATTTCTTACTGACACTATTTATCTTTCTGTTCTTCTCATTCTTTTAACGTTGTTTCTAAATGCTTCTTGTTTCCCAGACTTCTCTGTTTCTCTGAACTGATTCACTGAGAAGTTTCTTCGTCTTGATTTGAATCTGACAGCAGATAAAAAATCTGGCTCACGATGATGCAGAAATACAAACAAACATTCCTGTTACCACAAACACATTCAGGTTGGTGCTGAATTTAGTAACACAGACTGTTATCTGTTGTTTAACAGCTGGGATGAAAATACAAAACCTACAAACTGACTTTAACCCTTAAATGTCCCCTCACATTTTATCATTTCATTTCTGCGACACATGAAAAAATTTACTGTGTTGTATTGGCATGATACATTTAGTATCATGGGAATACTAACAACAATGATGCCAGTAATACTGTTAAATAGTGTAAATTCTATTTTTATTTTTTATCCGCTAGATATCACTATGTTTTATTTTTAGCATCTGGAGACCTGTGCACTTCATCTGACTGAACACAGGGTGGTGGTGTTTCTCTGTGTTGGTTAATGTCAGCATCAACAGAAATTCACCAAATGATGAACCTTAGTTAGAAATCCATCACACAGCCTTGGTCTTGGAGCTTATTTATTGATGTCACACCTTTGTGACAGGAAATATTCATTAGTCATTTTATCATAGTTATTAACAAACATCCCTTAAAATAATATTAAATGTATTGTAACCGTTCCTTAAGCTTTTCAAAGGAACAGACATTTATCAGGTTGGTTCGACCGTGTTATTCCATTAATATTTCAATAAATATTTTCAGAACGAGTTTAAGAAGCAAATAAGCTGCTGCTTGTGTTTATACTTTTAATTAATGAAATTAGGAGCAACTCCAAAAAATGAATGATGGAGAAAGTACTTCATAATACTTATTATTAATTTAATTTAAGCTGTTATGCATCAAATGAAGTTAATAAAAGCATTCAGATTGTACCAAAACTAAAACATTCAAGTTGTACACTAGCTTTAAACTGTTAAAAACTGTCATTATAATGGGCCCTTTTCAGAGAGACATTTTGACACGTTAGGGGTGTAAACAAGAAAATAATTAGGGCTGAATTCCATTAAGCTGCTTCAGTTTCAGACTGTTGGTGTCATGTTTCACTGGGACATGTTTGCTGTGAAATGGACCTATTGTCAGACAGTAGCCTTGTTTGTCCACCGCAGGGGCTGATGGGAGGTCTGAGGACCCGTTAGAAACCACGCGGCCCTCGTCTGATCTCACAGCTCGTCCTTGTTTGGCCTCAGCTGCATCAGAGCGCCACTTCTCCCCAGGTTCACCAGAGGAAACACCACTGCACACAATGCTTTTCCTCCCAGCTGCTGCTCTGTGCTGTCTGTGTTCAGGTGAGTGTTTCCAGCCAATCAGGAGCCAGCAAACTCCACCTGGAACAAACACTGTCACACTGACCTTCATCTATCTGTCTGTGTCTCTACAGCGCTGGTTGCCATGGCAGCAGACCTGATTCAGGAGGATTTAACATGGACCAGGAGAGTCGGTGAAACTGTTTCCTTCAGCTGTCGAGGAACTGACCAGTGTGACAGAGATAATGTATTCTGGTACCAGAAGAAAGACACAGAAACATTCACAAGGATTCTAGATATTAACAGGAGTAATGGTCGAGTTTTTTCAGGTTACAATCATCCTCAGGAAGATGATTTCTCAGCTTTGAGAAAACAGAAAGGCTGTGAGTTGGTGATCACAAATATTAAACTCCTCCATTCAGCCACCTACTACTGCTCCTGTTGGAAGTTTGGTCTCCACAGTGAGAAATGATCCGTGCAGCCTGAACAAAAACCAGCAGATGTCAAACAGTGTTTGTGACAGGAAGAGAGCAGTAAACCACAGCCCAGGTTCACATATTTCACCTCCAAAAGCCTTACGGGATGTGTGATAGGTGTGTGTGTATAGTTAATATTCACCTGTAAGACTTTTCTATCTACTTACATCTCTATAATTTCTATAAACACTGTACACTGTATGTGAACATCATTGAGCTTCCTGGTTCATAAGTTGGTTTCAGCTGACTCATTCAGCAGCAGACAGGTTTTTGTATTAGTGTATTTCACTGTGGGAGGATCCAGTGGGTCCAACAGATACCTGATATTTGGCTCTGGAACTAAACTCTTTGTAACAGGTAAGATTAAACATCAGTTTTCCTTCTGTTGTTTTATTGTAGAGGTCATTAAGTTTTGTTGTAAACCATCTTCTTGGTCATCCTGAAACCTTAAAGTAATGAGAGAAACTCAGGGTTGATGTTGTAACTCTGCTCTGTGTTCTCATCAGCTGCTGTTTAATCAAACTTCACAGTGGGAAATTCTAGATAAATGATTGACTTTTTAAGTCTCCAGTAAATCAAAATAAATTTAAGAGACGAGCGCGATTCTCCAGAGATGACCTAAATTTTCAAATTCAAAAGCAGAATCGATGTTATAAATATCCAGTATTTCATAATATTAGTGAATATGCGTTATTTGTTTCTTACTGGTTGTTTATTTGTGTGGTATATGATAATAATATATTAATATATTTTGATGTTTGAGAAATATATTGTAAATATTACATGGTGGTAAATATATTTGTCTAATATTGTTAATTTGTATGATTAATATTTAGTGTTCTAAATATTTATTTTATATTGTGAAAAACATATTCTAAGAAATACAATTGCATCAGGGTTTTTACAAGTTTCACTATTTTACAATCATGGAATCATATACAAATAAATTTTTACCACAATGTATGTACAATATACATTCTACACATCAAGGTACATTCAAAATCTAAAAACATTATATACCGTATATAAATATCTAGATATACATTTTAGATTATCTGTATATATATGGCGGCAAATATAAAAACAAGAGAAAGATATATTTATTACCAAGTGTATATTTTGTGATTAAGTTTTTTTTTAAATAAGTAAAACATGGGAAAGTAAAATATGTTTAATAATATTGTATTTACCTTTATTGAAATGTGTGGGGTAAACACAATATCAGAAACATATGTATGTTTAATGTCTATATTAAAATATATGCTGGTAAACAAATGTTTTTAGCATAAGATATGTTATATCAGAGTAATTGGATAGATTGGTTAATAAACAGTGCTGGAAGCTGCTGTTGACTGTGTGAATGTGTGTCTGTGCTGCTTGTTGCTGCTGTCAAACTTCAGATAACCGGTAGTGAAGCCCGTGGTGAGCGTGTACCCAGCAGCATCCAGAGCCCACCATGAGGGGAAGAGCTCCCTGCTGTGTGTGGCCTCAAACATGTTTCCTCCTGTAGTCCGCTTCTCCTGGAAAAGACGAAAGGTGAATGGTCCTCTGGAGGAGCTGCCCCTAGCTGAGGGAGAGAGAAATTCAGGATGCACCGCCGCCATCAGAGTGATTGATCGGGATGCTCTCTACACATATAAATACCGCTGTAATGTCCAGCACGAGGGGGGGAAGGTGGAGGCCCAAACAGAACAAGGTAAAGAAGGCTCGGTGACTAGACATTGTCAAAGAGAGCAGAGGAGCAGAGGACTGACATTTCTTTTTGACTCCTTTTCTGTTTCAGAGATTTCTGCACCACCAACACTTCCACCATTACCTCCACCAACACTTCCACCATTTATTCCACCATCACCTCCACCATCCGCGCCCGTCCAGTCCTGGCACAGAGAGAGGTTACTCTGCCTGATGTACACAGCACTGATAGTGAAGAGTCTGGTGTACTGCTGTGGACTCTCTCTGCTGAGGATCCTCAGAAACAAGGGACCGTCCACCGACCTCACACAAGTGACTGACTGACTGTCCTACTGCAGCTTTAACGCTCAACGTCTGCTAAAGCCTGAAGATAAAGTCTAGAGCCGACCCCTCTTCTAAAACCAACAATGAATTGATCGATTAACAAGTTCTGTCTGTGTAGGCAACATCTGAATTGCACATACTGTCCATCATTTGGGTGACACATTCCTTCATTATGACGAATGTGGTTCAATGTAGTTTATTGTTTTCAATGGTGGAAACAACACACACTGGACTTGTTAGCAGATACATTCAGTAATTTTGTTGATAACACCAACATCATCCTTCAGTCCATTTCTTGTTGATAACATCTAAATTATTAAATTTTCTGGAGAAAATAAATGTGGATGATACAGATAATATCAAGAAAAGTGTTATCTCAGGATAACTTCATAAAAAATCTACATCTGATCAGAAGCTCACTAAGAACTCCCGCAACAACGTTCAGTTATTTTCTAATATAATGCGTAATTTATACATAATACTGAGTATGTCTGTTGATATTATCCATGTTATCAGCTTTAGTTACAGTTCTTTATCAATGTTGCAGATTGTTTTTTTGAAAAATCTGTTTTATACATAGATCAGTCTGTTGTCAGCTGTTCTTTTATTTTTCTTGACTGTCTGTTTTTCTTGACCTTTGAATGAATGCGCAGTTTTAATAAATGAAACTAAAACATTTAACTTTGGACTATGTTTAACTTTTCTTTTCTAAACAAACTTTATATCTCTTGCTTGAACATCTATGTGTCGGTTATTAAAAACATGATGATATAATTATTTTTACCTTTAAAAACTCACCTAAAATTATATTGTTTTCAGATGACATTTTAAAATTTGATAGCAAAATACCTAGCAAAATATTTAAGGTCATGTCATTTCAAATATTGCATTATTCTTTTTTTATACTGAATATTTTGTGCAAAATCTCCGTTTGTTCTTTAAATATAAAAACAAGACAATAAAAACACTGTCAAATAGTGTTCTTCAATAATTTAAAATCTTGAAAGATGAGTGAATTTTGTTATCATGACAAGTTTAACAGTAGAGTTTATTTTAGTCTTCAGACTCTTTTCTTTAGTTTACTGTATCCCTTCTGTCAACTTCTCTCAGTTTGCTGCAACAAACAGGAAAACTAACAAACAGGAAACAAACAGGAAAACTAAATCTATATCGAGTAAGGTTGTCATTATTGGTCTGTGGGCTCAGATGAACACTGTGTGGGTGGAGGGCTCAGTGGAAAAAAGTCTTCAAGACAACAAGAGCAGCAGATATGATCTGTTCTCAGTGGTTATTGTATAGAACTCGTAAAAAAATGTTGACAGCCAATCAACACTCCTTTCCTGCAGCAGATGGCCTGTGTGGGTTTCTGCTCTGCAGCCACCTTACCACTAGTTGCACTTTTTCACATTAATAACACAATGACAGTTACAAGTGTCGACTCTGGTTAAAAAATCGTTCCAGGAAGTTCAGTAAGATTTCAGCGCGCAGTACTCACATGTCATGGCTTTGATCTGTGTTATTAATATATGAGAAAAAGCTTGAATCCTGAACTCCGAGCTGAGAAGCTGAAATAAAAGGAGATATGTTCAACCACCTGCAGTCTGATCTGATCCCACTTTATAATTTAATAATATTTAATAATAATTAAATGACGCTTCAAAATGGCAGCAGGCAAAATAAAAGTTTTGAATTTTGTTGGTTTAGAAGAAATAAACACAGCCATCATGTTGCCAACACTCGACTGACTGATGGAGTCGCTGTGGGATCATTTGATAGCAGTTGTAGCTTCACAGCAGCTTCTGTTTGTTCATGTTTGTAAACAACATTATCATCAGCGTAGAGTTTTACATCCACACTGACACAATTATAAAACACACAATTATAAAAGGGGGTCACCTGATGGCACACCCACACCTGCTGACTTGACAGCTGTCATGTTTATGTTTGCTCATCTTTGTTTAGCTTTGTTGTTATTGTTTAGCTGTTTGCTTTTATTCATACAGTATCTTCCTGTACTTTTGTTCTTGGCACTGTGGATAGTGTATTGAGAGCTACTTACAACCAGAGTCAAATGATTTGTAGCTGTTAACATACATGGCCAATGAAGTTGATTCTGGTCCTGATTTTTAACTATTAAGCCAAACTGAAATCCAACAAGAAGGAACAAGAAACAAGTTTTTAAAACACAGAAGTTGTGATATTTCAGTTTATTGATTTATAGATCCACTGAAAGAATTTGACAAACCTGTTACACTCTGCATAATGTATTAAAATGAGACTGTAAACAATAACATATTTAGTAGATGGATAATGATTCAGCTTAATTTTCTATTATTATACAAGTCACAATTAAAAGTGGAAATAAACTAGAGTATCAAAATAACAGTATACCACAAAATTTACACTCACTAACTGGAAATATGTATGTGTTGTTGGGGATTAGGGTTTAAATGACATGACATTTATAGTTAATAAAATTAATGATTACTATTAGTAATATTTAATGATGAATAATAGAATATAACCTAAAGCTTCTCCTTGGAGCACCACTCCTAAATAAGAGATACATTTATGGCCAATTACCTATTTCAGTCTCATTATATGCACTAAAATATAACATTAAATTAAGTGTAACAAAATTACCAATAATAGATAGTGGGTTGAAGGATTTGAATTTCTATGTAGAGGAGGTTGGCAATATATTCACTCTATATTAAAAGAAACCAGCATGTACATACTCAAGCATTTATTTAACAAGGTAAACAAAGCAAAACACACAAGACCAAACTAACTGAATTAAACCTGCATTAAACTAAGACTAGATGTTTTGTTTATGGCAGAATCAGAAGTATAGTTATGTTTATGTGATCTGTGTAATGGTGCTGTTATTGTCTTTTGTGTATGGAGCCAGGCGTGGAAGAATTGATCAGTTGCAGTCTTTTACTGTGTTGTGCTACAGATGAGAGGGTCTGGCCACTCTGTCTGTTCTCCTTAGAGTTGGCTGCTGGCTAATTGAGTTCAATGACACATGATAAAAGTAAAATTTTTGATCAAATATGAACAACTCTATCGTGAGTTCCCTGTGATCCAAACATTGTATATATGTGTTTTTAGGATGACTGTATCTAACCTGTGCGTAAAAGATATATTTTACGACTAACCACAACACATCTGAACTTTTCTGACTGCTGATCAAAGCATGAGATGAACTGATGAGATTTGATGGTAACAAAAAGCAGGTCAGTCAGATGCAGTCAGTCAGCATGTGTGCAGCAGGTGGACGGTCCCTTGTTTCTGAGGATCCTCAGCAGAGAGAGTCCACAGCAGTACACCAGACTCTTCACTATCAGCACTGTGTACATCACACAGAGCAGCTTCACCCTGCACTGAGACTGGAAGGACACTGATGGTGGAAGTGATGGTTCAATTGATGGTGGAAGTGATGGTGTAGTTGATGGTGGAAGTGATGGTGGACGTGATGGTGGAAGTGATGGTGGAGGTGATGGTGGAAGTGATGGTGGAGGTGATGTTTTGCAGAAACCTCTGAAACAGAAAAGGAGTCAGAAAGAAAAATCATTCCTCAGCTCTATGAGAATGAATCTCAGCTGAACACAGTCATCAAGTCTTCATTACCTTGATTTATTTTGGCCTCCACTCCCCCCCCCTCGTGCTGGACGTAGCAGCGGTAATTATATGCGTAGCGAGCGTCCGATCAATGACTCTGATGGCGGCAATGCATCCCAACTGTCTGAACTCCCGCTGCTCCTCCTCACCAGGTGCAAGCTCCTCCTGAAGACCATTATCCTTTATTCTTTTCCAGGAGAACCGGACCGGAGGAGGAAACATGTCCGCAGCCACACACATTAGGGAGCTCTTCTCCTCCTGTCCTTTTCTGGATGCTGCTGGGTACACGCTCACCACGGGCTTCACTACCGGCTCATCTGAAGTTTGACAGCAGCAACAAGCAGCACAGACACACATTCACACAGTCAACAGCAGCTTCCAGCACTGCATTCAGTCTGATCCTGGAAACTACATGGACTCTGATCACTGAGCTCCCATCAATACAGCACACAGTTCACTACATGGACTGGATTCACCTTCATATCACACAAACGTATCATGTAATGTTTAATAATATTAATGAATTATATGGGAAAGAAATGAAAGCCTGGAGGTAGCCTTCAGCAGCTGTATGACACTGGGCATTTAAGTAACTCTGGTGTAACCCTCCGCCATCAAGAATGTACTGATTTCAACCCAAACACGAAGGAGTTTTTTGTAACCTAACTGCATAAATACATATTAATGTCACAGTATGCGATTGAGTGCTTTGTGTTTTTGATTGTTTTCTATGGTTGCATGCTGGGAGCTTGGTGTGTTTTGTTTTGTCTGACGTGTCTTGCTCTGTTTCTGCCAAGCTAGCGTAAACTTCTTTTCAGCCACAGGCATCCTCTGTTGAGCCGCTGCCTCTGCCTCTCCGTTTGCTACCCTCTTGCCGCCCAGACAAATCTCCAACTCAGCCTCACCAGTTAGGGCCGCCCAAGCTCCTCTTTCCCCAGCCCGGGACTGGGAAAGCCCTACTCTGGCCTAACCTCCCTCTTAGCACATTTCTGTTGTTAAATGAACTGTTTAACTTTATCCTTGTGTCTGATATGCTTTTAGGTTTTTCACAGTCTGAATATCAAGACTATTAAGGCATATCATATGGATGCTGAAGGGCACTTTGTGAGTCGAATGCCAACGCTTTGTCATGCTTTCTCAAAGCGTCGGTATTTGACACCCTGAGATGAGAACGTGTGGAAAGAAGGTTTTCCCCATTGTCACAGTTAATTTACTTATCATAGGCTAATAAACAGACCTTGACATAAATAAAATTTCATTTTAATATTACAATATGCATATTATATATTTTACAATAAAACTTTTACTATAATCACTAAAGAAACAAATAAAATCTCTTTTTAACTTTCATACAATTTAACACAACTACATGGGTTTGTTCTGAAACGTTCGGATATTTCAAGTGTGAATAAAGATTACTTTCATAACATAAGTAAAAAGTAAAACTTTAGATATTCCCCAGGAAATATTTAAATATAATATAATTCTTTAATAAAATAGCTTCAGTATCTGATATAAAAATAGATTTTAGTAAGTAAAGGTTGTACAATAAAACAAAGTTTTAAATCAAAGTTATTAACATAGATCTTACATACATGCATCTTGAATCATGTTAAACATCATATATTACTTTTTCTAAAATGGGTTTATTGTAATATAATATTCAATATCAATATGAATGTTTGCCTTCATGTATAAATATATCTTTTACTAAAAGACATGTATCATCATATAAAATACAATTATAATGTAGTATATTTTAATCTTTAAACATTAATTATCCTATAACACACGTTTAAAGTTTTATGCTATTTAAAATATGTTTACTGACAATTTGTTTAATACAAAATATGTTGTAACATTTAAGAGACGACGCTGAGAGGATCAAATGCTGTGTATTTGTAACTTTGTCAATATCTTAGTTTTTTGATATGAATCAGTTTGTCTGGTGCAGAAACAAAGACTAACTTCAGTTGTGCAGTGAGATTTAAACATCTTTTCAGGAATAATGAATCTCTCTACAAATTATGAAAAAACTAACATCTGCAGCCTGAAGCAGCAGAGACTCATTAAAACACATTTTCAGCTTGTTCAATAAAAAGCTGCAAAAGTAAAATGTTTATTCTTACCTGTTACATACAGTTTGGTTCCAGAGCCAAAGATGATTTCTCCCACAGTGAAACAGAGTAATACAAAAACCTGTCAGCTGCTGAATGTGTCAGCTGAGGTGAACGAGTCCAGATGATGAACCAGGATCATATTTCAGCTGCATGATGTGTTTCTCTAAAGTTCATATCAACATGACTGTCTCTTCTTTTATTGTCTTTTTAGACACACTAGCAGTGTTGCTCTGTGGATGCTGATGTCTGCTGGTCCACTACTTTGGTCCAGATGGACTGGACTGGACCAAAAGATGGATTGACATGTTGTTCAGATATTCTTGGTCCCCAGAGGATTCACTTCTTTAATTCACTTTGTTTATTGTTTCACGCCCTCTCTGCCTCAAGCTGATGTGTGGTGAGCATTCTGGCGCTAAATGCTGCCATGCATCACCCAGGTGGGTGCTACACTTTGGTGGTGGTTGAGGTGAGTCTCCCCCCACTTCACTGTTGTGCCTTGAGTTTCCATGATAAAGTGCTATATAAACGTAATGCATTATTATTATTATTATTATAATTATTCATTCTGACTTCTGATCTAGTGCCACCAGCAGGTCGGTCTTTTTGGTTGAGGCCAAAATATCAGACCTATTGGATTGGACTGGTTTCTCATTTATGCCTGTTAATTTGAATCATAACAACATCATACCTGAATTTATATATTTTCTAAAGACAAATCAACAATTTCCACTTAATTTAACATCAACCTGAAAGCAAATGAAAACAGAAATAATTAAAAAATTTTTTATTATAAATTAATTCAGGCATCAAGAGGTTAAAGGGCTTTTAGGGATGTTTTTCCTGATCTGAATCGAGGACAGAGGGAGTTTGCTGTACAGATTGTAAAGCTTCTTAAGGCAAATGTGGGATTTGTGATATTGGCCTTAATAAATAAAACTACCGTGACGTTCCCACAGCCTCGGTTGTAACACGTGTTTAGTGCTAAGCAGCAAATGTCAGTCTAAAGCAGCAGCCTGAATGAACCACGAATAGGATGCAAATCTATTCCCCCAAAAATTTTGCAGGGATGCCATAGTCTAAATTAAGTACAATGTTTGACTGCACTATCCGTAAGCGAATTAGCAAATTCTGCTATGTTGGAGGCATGAGCTGTAATACTCTGCCTCTGATTGGCCCAGCTTGACAGTGACATTTATCACATAGCCCTTGCTGAAAGAACAGGAAATTTTTGGTGTTTTCATCACAAGGGCCAAGGGCAGACAGGAAAAACAAGGGATATACAGAGGTTTAGGAGGTTAGTCAGGCAAAACCAGCTAAAGCAGTTCACAAACAAAAATAAATCTAAAAGGAAGCAAATCCAAAGATCCTTCTGTTGTTTCTCAACCATCAGCAGAAATGTTTCATTCCAATATTATAGAATTATTATGGTCCCTCTCCTTAAATGACAGGGAAGAATTAGCGCTGCATGAGCTCTTTGTAACATTATCACTAAAAAGCAGAGCCTCAATATTTCTATAAACTACAGTCCGATATCAAATCTACCCATTACTAGTAAAAACATTGGAAAAACTGTCTTCCAGCAGCAGCAGAACTACTTCTTACTCTCAACAGGTTAGATAACAACCAAACAGGATTTCAACACCTCCACAGCACCAAAACTGCTCTGAGATTTGTCTTGGCACTGATTCTGGCAAAATTCCATTACTGGTGTTATTCGACACTGATGACCACTCAATACTGCTAGACATGTTGGAAATTTGGGTTGAGCTTTCCAGCTCTTAAGTTGGTTTAAGTCATATCTACATGACTACATATCTCCATTGGCAACTATGTATCTGAGCTAAATATTGTGACGTGTGGAGTCTCTATTCAAACTCTACATACTCCCGCTAGGCCAAATCATGCATAATAACCATATCGCCTGCCAAAGTCATGCGGACGACACTGAGATCTATGTAGCTTATGTGCATGTATCATGTGCACAGTAATGCAGAAAAAGGCAGGCTAGACTGTACCTTATGCTGTTCAACTCATTTTGGTGACTACATAACTTCAAATTGATCCCCTACATAATATACGTTCCTATCCTTTATGACAGAAATATATATATAAATAGTTATAAATAACAAAAAGATGTACATAGAAATAATATCAAGCCATTAAAACACTGAAAAGATTTTCCTCTCCAACCCGGTGTCAGTATAGAAAATTACCCAATGGGCCGCTGTCCGTGCTCTATGGTCCAATCGTTGGTCCATTTTTTAAAACAGTTAAATAAATAAAAAATTTACGTTACATCGGGGGGCCCTGGCATTTGCCCTGTATCCCAGATTACTAATCCACCCCTGATGACAACTTGTATTTTTCATGGAATTGGATTTTTCCATCATCTGTTACTCCACCTTTAAATGTAATAGTGTTTAATTCTCCAGGGAGCGTTAAAGTTTCAGTAAGTAAATCAAGACATTAACTTTCAAGTTGCTTAAGTGGTGGTTTACAGAAATTCTTTGTCCTGATGGTGGTGCACGAGGAAAGGTCAGGAGGTCACCATAAATGCAACGAGAAACATTCCCAGGACATTTACAGCATACAAACCTGGCAACAGAACCAGCGTCCTAATAAGCCGCTGCTAGAAGGGCAACATCCTGACCTGACATGTGTCCAAGATTTGGCTTTTAAAATGGAAGAAAGTGAAATGATCTGCTGAAATCTACTGAAAGCTGTTAAACAACAAGTGCTGCTGGAAGGGTTTTCATTCAGAGCAGATTAGTATTGTGAGGGAGGAATGGACTTTATTCCAGCAGCAGAACAAAGAGGACGACTTTAATCTGCATCTGGAACATCTGGCTGGAAACTTTATCTATTATATATCATTTACTTTAAGTATTACTTCATAAAGTGAATCAGGATTATATTTTTATTTAGTTTCCTCTTTATCTTGTTTGCTCATTGTGCTTCTGTGCTGCTAGTTTGTCCTCACTGTGTGGAACAACAAGAAACCTGCTGGAATATCTGATCAAATAGAAATCAATAGAATATTAAAGAAATCCCTCAGCTCAGTATGTTTGTGACTCTGGCTGAGATGGAGGTGAAATATGTGAACCTGGGCTGTGGTTTACTGCTCTCTTCCTGTCACAAACACTGTTTGACATCTGCTGGTTTTTGTTCAGGCTGCACGGATCATTTCTCACTGTGGGCAACATACTTATAACAGGAGCAGTAGTAGGTGGCTGAATGAGAGGGTTTAACTTTCTTGAGCTGTAACTCACAGCCGTTCTGTTTTCTCACAGCTGAGAAATCATTTTTCTGAGGATGATTGCTGTAGCTTGAATCTATGCGACAATTACTCTTAGTTATATCTAGAATCACTCTGAATGTTTCTGTGTCTTTCTTCTGGTACCAGTAAACATAAGTGTTACACTGGTCAGTTTCTCGACAGCTGAAGGAAACAGTTTGACCAGCTTTCTGTTTCTGATATTGTGTTTACCCCACACATTTCAATAAAGGTAAATACAATATATTAAACATATTTTACTTTCCCATGTTTCACTTATTTAAAAAAAAACTTAATCACAAAATATACACTTGGTAATAAATATATCTTTTATATAGTTTTTATATTTGCCGCCATATATCATATACAGATAATCTAAAATGTATATCTAGATATTTATATACGGTATATAATGTTTTCAGATTTTGAATGTACCTTGATGTGTAGAATGTATATTGTACATACATTGTGGTAAAAATTTATTTGTATATGATTCCATGATTGTAAAATAGTGAAACTTGTAAAAACCCTGATGCAATTTGTATTTCTTAGAATATGTTCTTCACAATATAAAATAAATATTTAGAACACTAAATATTAATCATACAAATTAACAATATTAGACAAATATTTACCACCATGTAATATTTACAATATATTTCTCAAACATCAAAATATATTAATATATATTATTATCATATACCACACAAATAAACAACCAGTAAGAAACAAATAACGCATATTCACTAATATTATGAAATACTGGATATTTATAACGTCGATTCTGCTTTTGAATTAGAAAATTTAGGTCATCTCTGGAGAATCGCGCTCGTCTCTTAAATTTATTTTGATTTACTGGAGACTTAAAAAGTCAATCATTTATCTAGAATTTCCCACTGTGAAGTTTGATTAAACAGCAGCTGATGAGAACACAGAGCAGAGTTACAACCTCAACCCTGAGTTTCTCTCATTACTTTAAGGTTTCAGGATGACCAAGAAGATGGTTTACAACAAAACTTAATGACCTCTACAATAAAACAACAGAAGGAAAACTGATGTTTAATCTTACCTGTTACAAAGAGTTTAGTTCCAGAGCCAAATATCAGGTATCTGTTGGACCCACTGGATCCTCCCACAGTGAAATACACTAATACAAAAACCTGTCTGCTGCTGAATGAGTCAGCTGAAACCAACTTATGAACCAGGAAGCTCAATGATGTTCACATACAGTGTACAGTGTTTATAGAAATTATAGAGATGTAAGTAGATAGAAAAGTCTTACAGGTGAATATTAACTATACACACACCTATGAATCACACATCCCGTAAGGCTTTTGGAGGTGAAATATGTGAACCTGGGCTGTGGTTTACTGCTCTCTTCCTGTCACAAACACTGTTTGACATCTGCTGGTTTTTGTTCAGGCTGCACGGATCATTTCTCACTGTGGAGACCAAACAGGAGCAGTAGTAGGTGGCTGAATGGAGGAGTTTAATATTTGTGATCACCAACTCACAGCCTTTCTGTTTTCTCAAAGCTGAGAAATCATCTTCCTGAGGATGATTGTAACCTGAAAAAACTCGACCATTACTCCTGTTAATATCTAGAATCCTTGTGAATGTTTCTGTGTCTTTCTTCTGGTACCAGAATACATTATCTCTGTCACACTGGTCAGTTCCTCGACAGCTGAAGGAAACCATTTCACCAACTCTCTCTGGTCCATGTTAAATCCTCCTGAATCAGGTCTGCTGCCATGGCAACCAGCGCTGTAGAGACACAGACAGATAGATGAAGGTCAGTGTGACAGTGTTTGTTCCAGGTGGAGTTTGCTGGCTCCTGATTGGCTGGAAACACTCACCTGAACACAGACAGCACAGAGCAGCAGCTGGGAGGAAAAGCATTGTGTGCAGTGGTGTTTCCTCTGGTGAACCTGGGGAGAAGTGGCGCTCTGATGCAGCTGAGGCCAAACAAGGACGAGCTGTGAGATCAGACGAGGGCCGCGTGGTTTCTAACGGGTCCTCAGACCTCCCATCAGCCCCTGCGGCGGACAGATAAGGCTGCTGCTGCTGATTGACAGCTCAGCTGAAGCTGCTGTGTGGTTTTCTGCTGAGTCGGAGCTCATTCTGCTTTATTACAGTTTATCTCCTCTATTGAACTATTTCAAATCACAACAGGTACATAAGGCAGGAGCATGTAGTATTACAGTAGAAAAGTGAGTACAACCCTCAGATGCTTGTAAATATTTGATTATATCTTTTCATGTGACAACACTGAAGAAATGACACTTTGCTACAATTTAAAATAGTGAGTGTGCAGCTTGTATAACAGTGTAAATTTGCTTTCCCCTAAGAATAACACATCACACAGCCGTTAATGTCTAAACCACTGGGGGAAAAAATGAGTACACCTCTAAGTGAAAATGTCCAAATTGGCCCATAGTGTCAGAATTTTATGTGGCCGTTGTTTTCCAGGACTGTCTTAACCCTCTTTGACATGAAGTTCACCATGTGACATGATGACATCACGGAACTGGTGGATGTTAGAGACCTTGTGCTTCTCCACCTCCCGTCTGAGGATGCCCCACACATGCTCAATAGGGTTCAGGTCTGGAGACATGCTTGGCCAGTCCATCAGCTTTACCATCAGATTCTCTAGCTAGGCAGTGGTGTCTTGGAAGTGTGTTTGGGGTCGTTATCATGTTGGAATGCTGCCCTGTGGCCCAGTCTACGAATGGAGGGGATCATGCTGTCTGAGCATGTGCACTCAACTTCTTGGTCGACGTGGTCGAGTGGAACCTGTTCTGAGTGGAACCTGTCTTGTTGTACTGCTGTATGGGCAGTTTCAGGGTCTTGGAGATCTTCTTATAGCCTCGGCCATCTTTACGTATAGAAATTAATAAAATATAATTTTTTCAGACCCTCAGAGAGTTCTTTGCCATGAGGTGCCATGTTAAACTTCCAGTGACCAGTTTGAGGGAGTGTGACAGCGATAACACCAAATTTAACCCCTGAGACTTTGTAACACTAATGAGTCACATGACACCGGGGAGGGAAAATGGCTAATTGGGCCCAATTTGGAAATTTTCACTTAGGGGTGCACTCACTTTTGTTGCCAGCGGTTCAGACATTAATGGCTGTGTGATGTGTTATTTTGAGTGGACAGCAAATTTACACTGTTATACAAGCTGCACACTCACTACTTTACATTGTAGCAAAGTGTCATTTTGTAAAATACTGTATCTCTCCAGTATAAAAAGTCGAACCAGCTTCTTGTTTTCATTGTGTGGTTCGTCACACTGAGACCTTCATTCTCCAAAATCCTGTTTGTGTTCAATCTTCAAATATCTGTTGTTGAAAAAGAAGATGAAGGTTACTGTCAGCCAGCAGATTCATTTCTTACTGACACTATTTATCTTTCTGTTCTTCTCATTATTTTAACGTTGTTTCTAAATGCTTCTTGTTTCCCAGACTTCTCTGTTTCTCTGAACTGATTCACTGAGAAGTTTCTTCGTCTTGATTTGAATCTGACAGCAGATAAAAAATCTGGCTCACGATGATGCAGAAATACAAACAAACATTCCTGTTACCACAAACACATTCAGGTTGGTGCTGAATTCAGTAACACAGACTGTTATCTGTTGTTTAACAGCTGGGATGAAAATACAAAACTACAAACTGTGACTTTAACCCTTAAACGTCCCCTCACATTTCATCATTTCATTTCTACGGCACATGAAACCTTTTCCACACACAGCATCACATCTTTATTTTGTGTTCTGTTGTTCAGTCTCTTCATTAAAGCTACATGTGCTGGTCATATAATTAGAATATCATCAAAAAGTTGATTTATTTCAGTAATTCCATTCAAAAAGTGAAACTTGGATGTTATATTCATTCATTTCACACAGGCGTATCACATTTTCCTCTTCACAATACCCCATAGATTTTCTATAGGGTTAAGGTCAGGCCAGTTTGCTGGCCAATTAAGAACAGGGATACCATGGTCCTTAAACCAGGTACTGGTAGCTTTGGCACTGTGTGCAGGTGCCAAGTCCTGTTGGAAAATCTCCATAAAGTTGGTCAGCAGCAGGAAGCATGAAGTGCTCTAAAACTTCCTGGTAGAAGGCTGCGTTGACCTTGGACCTTAGAAAACACAGTGGACCAACACCAGCAGATGACATGGCACCCCAAACCATCACTGACTGTGGAAACTTTACACTGGACTTCAAGCAACGTGGAGTCTGTGCCTCTCCTCTCTTCCTCCAGACCTGTGAACTTCATCTGACTGAACACAGGGTGGTGGTGTTTTTCTGTGATGGTCAGCATCAACAGCAAACAGAAATTCACCAAATGACTGGTTAGCAGAAACAATCAGTCATTTTGTTGAAAAAAAATAGAAAACTAAGACCATAACTCCAACATCATCCTTCAATCCATTTCTTGTTGATAACATCTTAATTATTTCATTATCTAGAGAAAAGAAATGTTGATGATACCAATAATATTATGAAAAGTGTTATCTCAGGATAAATTCATTAAAAATCTACTTTTGATGAGAAGCTCACTAAGAAGTCCAACAACAACGGTCAGTGGTTTTCTAATATAATGCTTATTTTATACATAATACTGAATATTTACGTTGATTGTCTTCAGGTTACAGATTTGTTATACAAATGGTGGATTTGCTTTTATTTCATTGACTGTTTTCTTGCAAAATTTGTTTTATACATGAAGTTCAGTTTTTTAAATCGTAGTATAAATAGCAGCTGTTCCTTTAATTTTTTATAATTTTTTCAGTTTGTCTTAATCTTTGAATTAACGCACAGTTTTATTAACTTAAGTAACATTTAACTTTGGACTATGTTTAACTTTTCTTTTCAATGGCTTTATATCACTTGATTGTGGTGGCTATTAAAAGTGGATCATATATTTTTTTTTACCTTACCCTAACTCACCTAAAATTATATTGTTGTTTTCTTGAGACATTTTAAAACAAGATTAACATTGCAAAATATTTAAGGCCGTGTCTTTTCTAATATTGCATTGTTCTTCATTTATACTGAATATTTTCTGAAAAATGCAGTGCCATCCATCCTTCGTCAAAGCTTATACTGCGTACAGGGTCGCGGGAGGCTGGAGGCAATCCCAGCTGAGATCAGGCGAAAGACGGCGTACACCCTGGACAGGTTGCCAATCATGTGGCCACACATAGACAAACAACCAGTCACACTCACACAATTTAGAGTCACCAATCAACCTAGGCCACATGTTTTTGGGCGATGGGAGGACGCTGGAGCGCCCAGAAAGAACCCACGCAGACAACATGCAAACTCCACACAGAAATGCTGGGGCAACCGGGGTTTGAACCCACAACCTTCTTGCTGTGAGGCCATAGCGCTAAATATAAAAACATATTAAATAGAGGAAAAAAACGAGTTAATAAAAACACTGTCAGATTGAGTTGTTCAATATCTTTAGAACTGGTGGTGAGTGAATGAATTTTGTTCTCAGGACAAGTTTAACATTAGACTTTATTTCAATCTTTAGTCTCATTTCTTTTGTTTACTGTCTGTGCTGCTGTCTAATCTATGTCGAGTATGGTCAACATTGTTGGTCTTTGGGCTCAGTTCATCTCTGTGTGGGTGGAGGGCTCAGTGGAAAAAAGGTTTCCTGACAACAAGAGAAAAAACAACCAGCTTCAGAGGGTAGAGGAGTTGATGAGTGTGTACAGCAGCAGATATGAATCTGTTCTCAGTGGTTATTAGGACTGTTGACAGCCAATCAACACCTACTTCCTGCAGCAGACGGGCGGTGTGGGTTTCTCCTTTGCAGGCTCCTCACCGCTAGCTACACTTTTTCACATCAATAACACAATGACAGTTACAACCGTCGACTCTGGCTAAAGAATCATTCTAGGAAGTTAAGTTTGACTTCAGCGCTCAGTACTCACTGTCTCGCTTCAACACCACAGCAAAAATAAAAAATACAAAGTGAAGTTACATTTTATGGGTTTAGAAGATAAAAACACAGCCATCATGTTGCCAACATTCAGACTTCAGCCTGACTGATGGAGCCGCTGTGGGATTATTTTATAGCAGTTGTAGTTTCACGGCAGCTCTGCAGTTTGTGTATGTGTGTAAACAACAGTGTCATCAGCGTAAAGCTTTACATCCACACTGACAGAGTTATAAAACGGCATCAGCAGAACTTGGTGAGAAACATACACCTGCTGACTTATATATAACAGCTATATGTTTACTCATCTCATCTCAAAAATAAGGATGTTTATAAAACACAGACACAGTGATTTTTCAGTTTATTTAGAAAGTTAGACTGAAAGAATTTGACACACCTGCCACACTCTGCATAATATATTAAAAAGAGACACAAGAACAGAAGAATACTGTATACAATAACATATTTAGCAGACAGCTAATGATTCAGCTTCATTTTCTAGTATTATACAAACAATTATAAGTAGTGGAAATAAACTAGAGCATCAAAATAACACTATACACATAGTAACTGCATATATATATATATATATATATATATATATATATATATATATATATATATATACATACATACATACATACATATATATATATATATATATATATATATATATATATATATATATATATATATATATAGAGAGAGAGAGAGAGAGAGAGAGAGAGAGAGAGATACATATGTTTGTTGTTGGGGATCAGGGTTTAAATGGCATGACTTTATAGTTAATACTATAAAATTCTTGGGGCACCCCTCCTAAATAAGAGATACCTTGATTGCCAATTACCTATTTCAGTCTCATGAAAGACCATTCTATTAATAGATCGTGGGTTGAAAGATCTGGATTTCTACGTGGAGGAGGTTGGCAATATATTCACTCTATATTAAAACAAACCAACAAATATATACCCAAGCATTTATTTTACAAGGTAATTAAAGCAAAACACACAAGACCAAACTAAGTAAAAAGCACTAAACTAAAACTAGATGAAGGAAAAGGGATGAGTGTGTGTGATAAGAATAGTGTGTGTGTGTGTGTGTGTCTTTGTCCTGCATATGTGTGGTTGCAAATAAGAAGTAACTTATGTGTGATCGGTGTAACAGTGCCAAGTTATTGCCAATTGTGGATGGAGCCAGCCGTGGAAGAATGTTTGGTTTCAGTCTTTTGATGTGCCTTAAGACAGATTTTAGGATGACTGTTTATAACCTGTGCATAAAAGATATATTTTACACATCTAAACTTTTCTGACTGCTGATCAAAGTGATCAGTGAGATGAATTGATGAGATGATTGCTGGTGAGAAAAGATGAGCAGGAAACAGTCAGTCTGCATGTGTGCAGCAGGTGGACGGTCCCTTGTATCCGAGGATCCTCAGCAGAGAGGGTCCACAGCAGTACACCAGACTCTTCACTATCAGCACTGTGTACATCAGACAGAGCAGCTTCACCCTTCACTGAGACTGGAAGGACACTGATGGTGGAAGTGATGGTGGACATGATGGTGGACGTGACGGAGGACATGATGGTGGACGTGATGGTGGAAGTGATGGTGGAGGTGATGTTTTTGCTGGAACCTCTGAAACAGAAAAGTATTCAGAAAGAAATGTCAGTCCTCTGCTCCTCTGCTCTCTTTGACAGCGTCTCCACATTAAGCACTGTGTACAGCAAGCAGAGCAGCTTCACCTTGCACTGAGACTGGAAGGACATTGATGGTGGAAGTGATGTTGGAAGTGATGTTGGAAGTGATGGTTGAATTGATGGTGGAAGTGACGGTGTAGTTGATGGTGGAAGTGATGGTGGAGGTGATGTTTTTGCTGGAACCTCTGAAACAGAAAAGGAGTCAGAAAGAAATGTCAGTCCTCTGAAGCTAAATATCTGCTGAACACAGTCACCAAGCCTTCATTACCTTGTTGTAGTTGGGCCTCCTCTCTGCCCGTCTCATGCTGGACGTAACAGATGTGTTCATACGTGTAGAGAGCGTTCTGATCAGTCACTCTGATGGCGGCAATGCATTCCGAATCTTTGAGCTCCTGCTGCTCCTCCTTAGTAGGGGGCAGCTCCTCCAGAGGACCATTCTCCTTTCGTCTTTTCCAGGAGAATCGGACCAGAGGTGGAAACATGTCCACAGCCACACACAGCAGGAATTTCTTCTCCTCCTGGTTTTCTCTGGATGCTGCTGGGTACACGCTCACCACGGGCTTCACTACCTGCTTATCTGAAGTTTGACAGCAGCAACAAGCAGCACAGACACACATTCACACAGTCAACAGCAGCTTCCAGCACTGCATTCAGTCTGATCCTGGAAACTACATGGACTCTGATCACTGAGCTCCTCATCAATACAGCACACAGTTCACTACATGTACTGGATTCACCTTCATATCACAGACACATATCTATATATGTAATGTTTAATAATAATATGTTATATGAGGAAAAAATAGAAAATTTCTTTCTTAGCAATTATTTTTTAGAACTTAAAAAGCTACTATAGTTTCACAACAATTATCTGATCATTTAAAAACCCAATTAACATGTAATGTTCAAATATGAGATATGAAAGAAAAGCCTGGTCTCATCCCAGGGTGTCAAATACTGATGCTTTGAGAAAGCCTAACAAGGTGTCGGCTTTGACACACAACATACACTTCGGCGTCCGCATGATAAGCTTTCTTGTAACTCACCCATCTGCCTTCATATATTACATTAACTTAAACCATGATCTTTTACTAAACCTAACCAAACCATGATCTTTTGGTTTTTATGACAGCAGCTGAGCAAATTGCATTCATACCACATGTTAAAAAGCCGTCTCCTGTGGATGCTGAAGGTACCTTGTCTCAATGTTATGGTTAATATACAATACGTAATATAATAAACATACTGTGACATATAATACAATTGTCATTTCAATAACTACAATATGTGCAGCATATTGTATTTTACCAACAAATCTTTACTATAATTACTAAAGAAACAATTCAATAGATCAATTTAAACTTTCACACAATTAAACACAACTACAAGGATTTTCTTCCAATATGTTGAGTTATGTCAAATGTAAATTAAGATTAGATTATTTAGAGGGACTATTAATTTCTTCATGTAATATCTGCAGTATCTGATGTAACACAAGGTTATGGAATGAAATGAAACCGTTAAAAATATTTTAAATCATGTTAAACTTTAAACAATAGTTTGTTCCTGAATTCGGTTCATTGTAATATCATGTTCATTGAATATGAATGTGAATATTTGCCTCCACGTATAAATTTTCCACTAAAAGACTATCATGTATAATCAAATAAAATACAAATATCACGCAGTACATTTTAACGTTCAAACATTTTTCATCAATTATCCTTTAAACTTGTTTAAAGTTATATGCTATATAAAATACAAGAGACATAGCTGAATCCCTGAGAGGACCGAATATATTTGTAACTTTGTCAATATCTTCCTTTTTCTTTCTGAATCAGTTTTATCTCGTGCAGAAATAAATAATAACTTCAGTTGTGAAGTGAGATTTAAACATCTTTTCAGGAATTATGAACCTTTTTATGTAACAATAGCTGCACGGCTGCAAGAACCTGTTACATACAGTTTAGTTCCAGAGCCAAAGAGGTGCTCCCACAGTGAAACAGAGTAATACAAAAACCTGTCTGCTGCTGAATGTGTCAGCTGAGGTGAACGAGTCCAAATGATGAACCAGGATCAAAATCCAGCTGCATGATGAGTTTCTCTAATGTTCATATCAACATGACTGTCTCTTCTTTTTTTGTCTTTTTAGACACACTAGCAGTGTTGCTCTGTGGATGCTGATGTCTGCTGGTCCACTACTTTGGTCCAGATGGACTGGACCTGGACCAAAAGATGGATTGACATGTTGTTCAGACATTCCTGGTCCCCAGAGGATTCACTTCATTATATGACTTTGTTGATTCTGACTTCTCATCTAGAGCCACCAGCAGGATGATGTTTTTGGTCAGACTATAATATCTCATAACATATTAGATGGATTACTATTTAATGTAGTTCAGACGTTCCCTCGGAATGAACTTTGGTGATCATCTGACTTTTCATATAGCACCACCATCAAGTCAAACATTTAATTTGTCCAGTGCTTTGGTTCATGACCAAATACCTTCAGAAACAATGACATTCTGACTGTTTGGTGGCACCTGAAGTAGCTCGATGTCCTCCCTGATTTATATTGTTTTTTTATTTACAGTCTCTCTATAATGTTGTCATCCTAATTTTACATCTTACATCTTACATCTTTGCTATTTTGGTTGATTGGGTGCATGACATTTGTAGCATGTGTCGTCCTGGAAGAGCGATCCTCTGTTGCTTTTCCTGAGGTTACTTGACATTCCCATCAGCTTCAGCTTTACTTTGTGTTCAGTGCTTATTAGGAAAGGTAAGGCAGTAGCCTGAATAAACCACGAAGGGGTCTCTTCCCCAGAAAATTCAGCAATTCTTTCCATTTGTCCCTTGCAAGACACCATTGTTCTGAAATTCAGTGTCCTGTTTTTAAAGTTGACTTTGCACTACCTCTAAGCAAATTTGCTCTCTAAAAAATTGCTGAAAGAAGAGGAAGTTGTTCTTGTCACAAGAATGTTTATAGAAACAAGGTATTTCGAACCAAAAACATTACCGTAGGCCGAGCTCGCGCAGTTCAACAACGATATGAAGAAGCACGATCAAAAACAAAATGAACCATATTTCCGCGCCCCCCACAAATATGGGTCCGCAAAGAAATATAGGTAGAAAAGCTTGCACAGTTGTCTTCTAAATCATTTCTCTTCGTGCTCTGTGTGTTCTCTCTCTAAACTGAAAATGACCTATATGGAAAGGTTTTCTGTCAATGAAATTTTGTCAAAGGTGTTTGAGGACCCTGATCATGAGGTATACTCCTCTGATACGAATGAGATGCTTAGTGTTGACTGTCCTGTTATTCAAGGATGGTTAAAATCAAGGGCAACTGGACTTGGTTGAAGATACTAGACGTTTCACCCTCATCCAAGAAACTTCTTCAGTTCTGACTGACTGATAGGGAAACTCAGCTATTTAACCTCTATGGAGTCATTTGCCAAGATCATCGATACCGCTGGTTCGATAGTGCTCCTGGCTGTAATGACAGTCGTTATGGTCGTTAGAGGTCTGAACAACCATTGCTGGCATCTTCACCTGAGGCCCAAAGTGAATGCTTGTTACGTTTCCTGGGAAGTGATGAAAGGACGGCATTGTAAGCGGAGGATAAGTGGTGGCGCAGACCACCTCCTCTGTTAAGTGAGGGCTTCTCAACTCGGGTGTAAATGGATTCTTTGACACCTTTCAAACCATCCATCCTCTCTGTCTAAAATGTGCACCTGGGGGTCCTCAAACAAGTGTGTTGACCTGAGGAGTTGGCCCTATGTTGAGCCAATGCGTTTGTGTAGTGGTTGTAAAGTATCCCAGATTCCCAGGTTTCTACAGACAGAAGCATGGCTGTGCCATGGGCTCACCAGTCATTGGTACAAGTACATGGATGACACATGGATCAAAATTAAAACCCAGGAAGTTCAATCCCTCACAGAACACATCAACTCCGTGAACAGTAACATCAAGTTTACACGAGATGATGTTCACAACAACATTTTGGCCTGCCTGGACTGTGCTGTACACATTGAAGAGGACAGGAGCCTGCAAATTGGTGTTTACAGGAAAACCCCCACACACAGACCAATACCTACTTTGGGATTCTCTCCACCCACTAGAGCAAAAGTTAGGGGTCATCAGGCCCCGGCACCACGGAGCTGAGAACATACCAAGAAGTGCTCAAGCCAGAGAGAGGGAACAGAACCACCTGAAGGGGGCACTTACAGCCTGTGGATACCCCAAATGGACCTTTGGGAAAACAGTAACAAGATCCAGGAAGAACACCAATACTACAGGGTAGGGCTTTCCAGCGCAGCCTTTAGTTGGTTTAGGTCATAGAAGAGATGAATTACTTTGTTTACATTGGCAACTATGTATCTGAGCTAATTAACATGACGTGTGGAGTCCCACAAGGTTCAATCCTAGGGCCACCTCTATTTAACTTCACAACAAAAAAATGTTCATCCCTTAAGTACTAGTAGGTTAGACTTGTAATGGTCTCTTTTCAGGTCTCTCTAAAAAGGTCTTAGGCAGCCACAGCATGTTCTGAATGCTGCTGCTAGAGTTCTAATAAAGGCCTGAACATTTTAACACATTACACCAATTCTCATATCCCTGGACTTGCTCCCAGTAGGTCAGAGAATTAATATCTAAATACTGCTGCTCACCTATAAATGACTAAAAGCTTTAGGGTCAAAATACATCACTGAAATGTTTATAGAATATGAATGAAAGTGTCCTGTTTATTTTTCCTTTTTTCTTGTGATTCTGTTTCCCCTCGTGTTTTGGCCTGTCTGTGTCTCCTCTGCTCCCCTTGCTTGTGTTCTCCCTCTCTCTCTGCTCCTGAGCCCAGCTGACAATCAACACCTGCACCTCGTCAGCCACCTCCTCTGCCTGCCATCCCTGCCAGTATTTCAAAATTGAGCTTATCCAGTATATTCAGTACCACAAAGGTGGTTCACTTCTTACCGGGATAGATCTCCATGGTAACTTATGCTGAACGGCTAACCTGCTCCGGAGCAGGTTATGTTCCAGAGAAGAGATCAACTCTGTGAAAAGGCCGCCTACTGACCAATCAGCTCTCTTGGAAAATGACAACACCATCTGTAGGAGACCCCACAGACTGTTTTAGCCAATAAGCTGCTTTATGTTTGCAGCGGTGATGTGGAGAAACTCTTGACTATAACGATATAATCATACAGAGACTGATTAAAAGCCTCAGGCTATTGTTGCCTACAGGTTTTTACAGTACAGCAGGATCAGCCTACTTACTGCTTTGAAATGTGTTTAATATTTTGCATTTGCTCCCAGTGACGCAGCCGTTAAAATAAATAGGTTTTATTTTTCTTATGTGAGGCTGAATATTATGAGCAGTTTGGTAGGGATATTGAAATACTAAATGTTATATTGTATGAACGTGTGCTATCTATTCAGGTTAGTGTAGCTTTCTTAGGCCTATATACAGAGACTGTAGTCATGTTCCACCCCACCTTGTGGGCGCAAAAGGTGGGACAGTGACTTTTCAGTAGCCTAAATGTTGAGATTCAGTCTTTCAGCCACTCTTTGAGAACATTTTATGGCATCAATGGATTTTTCATTTCATTGCTTTATGAAGTTAATTTAGAACAATGTTTGGAACACTTTGAGTGTGTTCAACAAATTAATCTAATTTTTGAAGTGACGACAAGTTTTTTAAAGTGAGGGGGAACGGCCCGAGTCTTTTATGAATTGTATGAATTGTGCTAAATAAATTTGCTTTGCCTTCATCTGTATTACATTTTGATTTACTTTGTACTTTTAATGTTTTCTCTTTATCTTGTTTGCTCATTGTGCTTCTGTGC